TGCTATTTAATTTTCTTAGACTAAAACGCATGTTGCCTTTACACTCATATTACCACTAACCTATAATTCGTTGAAATGACTTTTTATGCTGCATTAAACTTTCAAAGCTGCAGATACCATACGGTGCTGATTATCTCAGTATTACCCTATGACTCGTCGTTTGTGTTACTGAGCAGCACAATAACATCTTCTTAATTCAAGCTGCTTAGAGATTTGCTACTGATACTTGCTTCCGGCGCACCAAGTTTAGTGAGTTTAACAAGCTGCCCAAAGTTTGCAGCAAATAGCATTATAGCTCGTATAGCGTCATCTCTAAGTAACTATTTGATGAGAACTTTTGCACAAATGAAAAACCTAATAACGCTCCGAGTGTTTCCGCATTTGCTTTTCTCAACTTTCTGCGATGAGTCACAGCTTCTCCTTTAAATATGTTTTAGAATATCTGCCTAAGGACAGGAAAAGTACACTAAAATAAAATAAACATACACTTTTTACATTACCATTGGTAACTTAGATGAAACAACAAGAGACGGCAGTATATATACTGCCTCACTCTCTATTCGTGTGCAGCATTGCGTTCGAGGATTGTGAGTATTTGTCCGGGCAAGGATACGTGATGCACGACGCACACAAGACTTTTCTTTTCATTGTAGTTTGATGACAAGGAAAGAAACTTTATTTGAGTGAAGTGATAATATAAAATTTAGGAGCGAAGTGGGTGGGGCCCTTGGTCGAAGGCTGTACTAGCTTTCGCCGACCGGTGGACTTGATCTAGAATCACGAGTAGAATTTCTGGTTCTAAACGGGCGATATGAGTTTCCTATTGCTCGTTTTTATAGTCTCCTATATGTTTTAGAAAGTTATCGAAACATTCTGCCATGTGTAGGACCAGTACGACAGCTGCTTTGGTGTACGTACGTGTCAAGATCTGCCACGACATTATGGGCAGCATACTGCCACTACAATATGGCGGGCAGTGCATTGCGCTGCCCTCAAAATGTGCATATTGTTTAATAAGAGCCGACCAGAACCTAAACTGCACAAAGAAAGCCTTTATTCAGATGATGCAGCAATCGTGAGACAAGAGTGGCCTGCATAACATACGCACTTACAAAAGAAAATGTGCGTGCGCGTGACAGCTGCAGAATACCAGAACAATGCATAATGCTTAAGCGAAGATTTTCTGAGACAAAAGCCTTCGTGACACGCAAATGAGAGACCGTCTGCAAGAAAATGTTTCAAAATAGGTGGGAGAAAAAACTCATTTCTAGGAAAGGGCATTCATTTGAAATCATCTGCGTAACATGGAAATTTAGATGTTCGCTTGAGTATTGGGGTTCTATATATTTAGTGCGTGTGCTGGCCTTTTTAAAACTTGGGGATCACCTGCAAATTTAACTTTACAAATAAACTGAAACTTCATTACTTGTTCAGCATAATTCTCCGATGCGTCAACTATCCTCGAAAGCCCATCTATTATCCCCACTATATGAGCTCTTGTGCAAGTGACTTTCAAGTAGCTCTGTATTTTAGCAACTGAAACATCCCCATCCAATGCATGCTAATCTAGCAAACCTATATTGTGCGATATGATTACTTAATTTATCTATCTCAACTGGAACGTAGCCTGGATGTCATACTGTAGTCCTTCACCTTGTGTTGTCAATTACAAAATAGCTGACACTGGTTTCTTTTAAACTCAAGGTGCTATTTTGCTACCTGTAGAAGTTGAGTCAGAGAACAATTGGTCAACGACCCCTGAGGTCGTCATCACGAAAGGTTTGCTTAGAATTGTACGTAATTGAGTAGGTCATGACATGGAGTTATGTATTTCCACTTTACTAATGGCGAAAACAAGGTCGTTAGCGATTACAGGTTGCTTACTAAATTCTTCATACTTCTCTTTTCCGGGAACAGCACAGCCGATGTGCTACTGACTTCGTTGTTTTTTTTTTTGCTTCTTCGACGGGTGGGCAGAAGGAAGTAGGCACCAGAAAGTAATTCAAATCAGCAGCTATATAATTCAGCGATGTTGGAGACGCAGCTCGTAAAATCCTCACGCTGGCGCAGATACGTTATCTCCGTCACATTTGAACGAGCCGAAAGGGCGTTCACTCAATGTGCGCTCGAATGTTGCGCGCGTTGGAGAAGGTGAAGCGAGAAAAGGTGACATGCGACGAGCGCGTGGCAGGCGAGGGAAGGCGTGACCTGCTTGGGATCGCCCCCACACCTGCGGTGAGGAGAGCAAGTTGCGGCACGTTGGCACTGAAACACAGAGGAACAGCGTTACCCAGGCTAGTCAAATATCTGCTTCGCATCTATAGGCAACGACCGCTATAGACAAGCAGCTCTGGTTTTGAGAATATTATTCAATGATACTAAAAAATAGAATTTTCACGTCCTCTAAAATATTATTTCACATCTTTAGGCAGTCCTTGCCTGCTGGTCAGCTTTCCATGGACTGAAAAATTGCAAAAGTCATTCCTGTACTTAAAGCAGGGTGTAAAGATGAAGTTGAAAATTATTGACCCATCTCAATAACCCCAATAAGCTGTCAAATATTTGAACAAATTATTGCTTCCGACATTTACAATCATCTTGAATTAAACATTTTTTAGCTCAACACAACATGGCTTCAGAAAGGTTTATCTTGTGTCACACAACTTTTAGAATTGAGTCATGTAGTAACGACAGGCCTACACTATAATTAGGACATGAATACATAGACAAATTGCGTTTTCTAGATATTTTCGAAGGCTTTTGATTGTCTCGCGCTTACGTCTAATTCCTAAATTGCCTGCCCTTACTGTTTAACTGTTTTACTATCTGTTTAACTGTTTTAATTAGACTGTTTAACGCTATCATGACTCCAGAATTTTCTTTCAGTTTCTGAACAGCTGACATTTGCAAATGGTTTGCATTCAGGTCTTGCAGAAGTCAGTTTAGTAATACCTGAAAGTAGAGTCTTTGGCCCTCTGCTCTTCCTAAATTTCATCAATGATAAACCCACTGACATTCCATCCTGCACACGCCTTTTCGCAGATGACTGCATCATTTATCAATCTATAACAACTTCTGATCATGTTACCCTTGGAAACGGCCTAAACCTCGTGAGCCGTCGGTGTAATAAGTGGTTAATGAGTTTGAATACTACAAAATGTAAAATACTGTCCGTTCCTCGAAAACACTCGATTTCAATCTTTTCGTACAAAATTAACCATTGCAAAGCATCTCGAACCACTTCGTACAAATTTTTAGGGGTTATTATTGACTATAAGCTGTCATGGTCCTTCCACATGACTGCTATTTGCCCTACAACATCTAAAATATTAAGTTACTTGCGTCAAAATCTTCATAACTCTACACCGAGCATCCGCAAACTAGCTTACTTAACATTTGTACGTCCACAGTTGGAATATGCCTCAGCCGTTTGGTCCCCTCATCAAGTCTATTTAACGCAGATGATAGTAGTGATTCAAAATAGAGCATCCCGCTTCATCACTCAGAACTACCAACGTCATAGCAGTATTTGTAAAAAAAAAAACATGACATCGAGTTACAGTCGTTAGAATTTCACCTTAAAATAGTCCTCCTCACGTTTTTCCACAAGTATAAACTATATGAAGGCATCTCCTTTCCCTCCGCACACAGCGGATCGCAGGTCAGCACGTATGCAAAATGAGCGCAGCTTTATGCGCCTTTTTGGCAGAACACACGCAATTACCCTATCCGCTTTGCCACAGGCAATCTAACTGTGGATTGATCTTCCTGATGCGATAGTTTCAGTAGCTAACAGCAAGTTGTTTCGAGAGTAACTAAACTGTCACTACACCTAGCATCACTTCATAACCATTTACATAGATGGGCATTCGTTTGACATTTTCTTTTTAATAAATCTCTTAGTGATCAGTGTCGTTGTTAAGTTGTATCAAATTTGTATAGTTCAAGTGTATACGTTCTCATTGCTGTTTTTGTTTGTTTTCCTGTATATGCCTCCCTTATCCTATGCTCTGAGAAGAACCTGTAAGATATGGTAAATAAATAAATAAATAAATTAAAAAGGGCTAAATTTTGCTACGTATTGTTTAGGTGCTGAAGACAAAGATAGGGCGAAATGCAGTATGCTGTTCAAAATAGTAGGCTGACTTAGAGACATTGTGGAATTTCGCCTGTTGAAAACATGTCTAGCGCTAGTTGTTTTTGTGTGTCGAGCGCAAAATAAAAGCAACAATATTTCACGCGCTACTTTTTTTTTATCTTTGGGGAAGCTACTCAGGAAGTACAAATGTAAAACAGTTCACATTTTTCATCGCTTAAAATTGGATAACAGCTTCTCCGTAATTTGAACACCTTGGTAACTTATACGATGAAGCTAAAATACCTTACATTAGGTTGCCGGATATGTCAATAAATAAACAGATATGCCTAATTGATCATGTTATACGTGCACTGCTCTGTGAGGTCGTTTTTATCCTAGCCTGTGCCCTCTATTTAAAATTGCAACAAGTGCAAATAAAGATGCTCATGCTTAACGGCAGCGGCAGCGATTGAAGCATAGAAACATAAGAAGTCACATTAAATAAGAATATTGCTGTTTTATCAATAAAAAAGAATATATAATAGATTACAATGTTTTTCAATAGCCTACTATAATGGAAGTATACATAGTTGGACTGTGGCCGGCAAGACATTTGTACAGGCGCTATTTCAAAGTGTAGAAAACTTTTCCTGAACGTATTCACCTTCCAGGCCGTTACTAGTGCATTCAAACTTTGTTTCATTTTAGTCACAGTGCGTATGTGATTGTTCACTATGTTTGAATCACTTTGGTTGTATAACTGTTGGTGTTCTAGTTTTTTTTTTCACCGTCTGTGCAGGTATATGTGATCGTTTATTACATTGTTTGGCAGGTTATGCTAAGCTTTGACCACTATGTTAACTGGTAGTTGTGCTGTAGATTCTATGCTTGGAAATTCGCAAAAAAACTTGAACAATATCTCATATCATCTTCAACATCTTCGAGAGTCGAGATGACGTCCATTTCTCTTCTTGCTGGCATCAACGCTTCAGTGAAGATAATCGCACAAATGTTTTCTGTGTCCTGAAAAGTAACAAAAATGTACAGAAAAATTTTGACATAGTATAATTCCGGCAGAGCATCAGGAATATTACGAGTAAACTAGTGATAGCTTGCGCTTAGATAACGATTATGTAGTATGCAAAGTGTTTCCAACTCAAAATAAAAGGTGTTGTGAGGTGTTCACGACGTAAGGATTCCCATGCGCTGAATTTAACAATCATAGCTATGTTAGGCAACTCATTTATGTGCAAGCTCTAGTATACTTCCTTGATCACTCCTTAGCACAAATAAAGCGCAAATACAAGACGGTATAACAAGAAATGGCCACCCAGAAGCTCACGGAGAAAAAGTATTACCTGTTGCTTTCCTTGGTGTTTTTTTGCTTTGTCGCATGTCTAACATTACATATTCGGGTTAACTACACTGAGGTTGTTATTTTTTTCTTAAGAAATTCAGGAGAAGCGCTGCTCACAAAAAGACAGTTCATGGTTTCTTTTGAAGATGTATCTTTGCCTGTTCGGGACGCATCAAAAGTATTAACAAATAATATCCCTTATTTTCAGGGAGCGGCGAAGCCGAAGACGTCCAGTTGCGCTTCTACCACTGACTTTATCAATCCATAGCGCTCAGCAGATTATGTAGTAAATATTAAAATGGCCAAACTAGTGCTCTTTAATACTGTGTCGTAGGGAAGCTTGTTTTAGTTTTTTGGCCAATTGTATAACTCATAACCATTTTACACGCGTTTTGGCTGGGCTTCGTTTTTAGTCTCTTTAAAAGCGTTTATTACTTCAATATAAAACTTCTGTCAACCATAGCGCACAGAAAAAATTCAGGACTGTCGGAAAAATGGTTATGATCTTACATGCAGTAACTAGGTGTTCATTGCTAGTTACTTTTATAGAATCCACAGGTTATATACTCAACCACGCCTCAATAAACGTCATCCACAATGCTGAATACAGCGTTTATTTTACTGTCTAAAGAATTAACGCAGCTATCTTGAATTTCTCACACACGATTCATAGCCACTCTCTTGAATGCAAGATTCATTTCCACAAAAGAAATCATGACTTGCTTAAGTCATAATGCCATATAACTACGTCTAAAACTATTCAGCAGGGTATAGTGGGTGCTGCAAACAAAAACAAAATTCCGGACAAAACAAAGATTGCGGGAGTATGAGACTCAACTCGTGTAGAAGCTGGCAAACGAGACGCGAACAATTTCTTAACATATGCAGCTTCAAGAATTTATCTCGGTGACGAAGAATATTCAACTACGCAAAGGAATGCGTAATTGTAACAGAATTTCTTATGAATTGTTTATAGGTCACAGCTTATATTTATACGGTTAAGGGGCAGTGCTCCTTTACATAGCCACTTTCTCTGTGGAGTGATTTTGATCTAGATGACTGCTGCTAAACCAATCAAGCATAAGTAAATGCACTGTGCAGATTGGTGACAACCGGATGTGGAGACATTGGCGTGATTTGACCATCTGTAGAAATTCCTAAAGTTAAAATTATTTTATGAAACATTTTTCAAAACATCTTATCTGTGGGCTTCGATATAACGCACAATAATTGCTCAGAATATATTTATTGCTGCTCACATGAGTTATCAATTAAAATAATATACGCTTTTTTAGGACATGTCGATAAATAGGCCAAGCACCTGGGCACGCACATCAATTTTGTAGGAGACAATATTGCAATGCCCTAGGAAAAGTGCAAAAGGAATACACGACACAAATGTCTGAGACCAATGGGGCTTGGATCCTCGTCTCCGCATTCATCTTGTCTGGCTGGCCATGATTTGAGCATTGATTCACTGGTGAGACACACTAAAACACTGAAGAAAGCTATGTCCACAAAAATAAAAGACCGAAAAATAAAACTATAAATAACATATAATGAATATGCTCGTCAAGAAAAAAGCGTTTTATAGTCCGTCAGAAAATGCGCACTACACATTCCTTTGAAGAAATTTGTCATCAGCAAAAGCAAAAGAAAATGTTTGCTGCACCACAATAATATTACGTGAATAAGAACGGTATACTCATAATTCAGTAATGTGAAGCAAGAAGAACGTAGAAGGGTTAGACTTACTCAAGCACTTTTGCTGACATTCTTCGCAGCTGTCGAAGAATGAGCCTACCGTTGGGCATTTATCAGCTTTAACTCTGCTGCATGTATAAAAACCTGCATTAAAAAACCATTTGTCGGAACTGTCATCACAGTGACCTCCTCTTCGTGGCCTGGCACCACAATGTCCAGCATTTTCGGGTCTGTTCTCTGCAAAAGAAAATAAGCGTTCTGATTATATTTCTATAGTACACGACGTCTGCGTTTCATTCTTTCACGTATACAAATTTTAATATTGTCATGAGCCATTGCACAAGACCTTCAGAAACGATTTAAAGAAAATGCTGTTCATGAAGTAGCTAAAATTATTTGATTTCGCGTTAACGAACAGCATACTATGCTTCGTTTTTTAGTGTTTTTTTGTATCATGCTGTTGGAAAGGACTGCATTGCTAGTCATCCTTTATGAACACTTTTATGAACTCTGCCTATGGAAATTTCATTTGCGGTTCTCGACAACGAGAATGGGGACATCCTTTCGTAAAGAGCAGAGAACTGAACTACGAATTTGCAGGGTTTTTTTTTTCCTGCAGCAAGATCAATTTACACCAGAAAGTTAAGAAATCACCAACACTTTCAGGCATAGCGGTACGTATTTCTCACCGCCAGTTGTTTAGCTGGCCAAGAAGTCTTTGCCTGTTATACTCAGTCTTCTCGAAAAGTTCTTCAAGGCAACCAGCATTTTGAAATTCGGCAGTGGCCCCGCGGGATGAGAAGAGCAATGCATGGTACAGTACATTGAGCGTGTCTATGTAATTGCCAGGCCTGCGTGAAATTAATTGTTGCAACCGACCTTCAAAACTGTAGTTTACATTCATTGAGAATTGGCTTGGCACGTGTGAGATAATGCTGTGGCGTTCTAAAATCGGTCAAGTGAGGAGCAATGACTTGTTAAGTTACGGCGTAGCATCACCTAAATGGCATACAGTATATGCTTTTTCACAATACCAGTTTGCTTGACGGGTTCAAACGTCATATAAAAATTTTAGTTGGAATTTCCAATGCGTGTTTGTGGAAGCATCACTGTTCATCTATGTGACACTTCGGCACGTGCATAAAGCAAAGTTCACTGGTCACATGCAAACTTGGTTTGTCGAAACTTTACAACCACGGCGTTCATTTGGTAAGCATAATTTGTAAGAACAAATGAAAGACCTTTAAGCTTCACCTTTAGTTGACTCTCTTGTGAAGATACAGCCTATCCTAGCTGATACCAACTCAACACGCCCGCAATTGAAATAAATAAAAGTAGTGTTGGTGGCAGAAAGACAAAAAGGACTAAAACGATAAGAACAAATAACAAAAGGGACAAAACGAAAAAGGATACTGCTACATACATCAACAACAGTGCATGGCAACTATAACCACAATTGACGTTAACCTGACGTGGCGGCTGTAATAAACGAGTACTTATGTAATATTTCTAAAATTCGGTAGGCAGCACTGCAACCACTATTGACGTTTCACAAAGAGTGGAGTGTATTCGATTGATTGACTTGTGGGGTTTAACGTCCCAAAACTACCATATGATTATGAGAGACGCCTGGCGTCTATTTTAACAGTAGCTCCGAGACCTGGCATCGCTCTGTGATAAATTGCTTCATTGCCACGCAGAATGCTTGGGTTCGATTGATTGCAGCTGGTACCCTGACATTTACTATTTGCGTTCGTCGATCGACGCTACTGATGCCGGGTATTTCTTAACGCTCGTGCCTAAAATTGCCCATGTGTGTTCTCGTCGTTTCTGTGTAGATACCAAGTGTCCATCACCTGTGGCACATACCCGCATACCAGCGGCACATACCCACCCGTGGGTACGGGCCACTGTCCGGGTGGAACTGTTTGACGACGTACGCGACGGGATTGTGACATTATTAATGTCTTGACCAGCGCGTCATATTTTTCAAACCAACTCACCCTCCCATGTCAATTTTGGTTCACGCCAGAGTGAGGGGGTGACCACGAAAGCACTCAAACTTATGCGGCTAGATGAATAGATAGATAGATAGATAGATAGATAGATAGATAGATAGATAGATAGATAAATAGATAGATAGACACATAGATAGATAGATAGATAGATAGATAGATAGATAGATAGATAGATAGATAGATAGATAGATATCATTTGCTCAAAGCCACTTAAGTTCACTAAGAAATGCTTCGCATTTAAAAACGTCGCTGTTTATTCAATATATGAAGATGTTCCTACCGACGCTGACAGCTCTGCTGAAGGCGACAGTGCAAGCGATAACAATGGTGGCTAGGAAGAGTATTTCCGCGATATTATATCCAATGACAAGACCACCTCGTCTTACTGACAATGTCAGTGACGCATGCGATACCGAAACAGGTGCAGGTTTTTCCGTCACATATCAAGGAGTTCTCAATTGTCGTGCAAAGCTTCAGATATCACTGCAGCTAATACTTTCTAGAAATCGCACTTTCACCTGACATCTTTGAAATGAGAAGTAGTAACCCATTTGGTATTATTAGCTTTTTATGGAGCCCTCCGCCTTCCCAGTAACCCGTCCGTTGTTATAATGTTCAGCTCTGCTGAGAACCGATTATCCAAAGTACACCTATCACTGGGTTTGCAGAATGACACTTGCTTGGAAGTTTCAAATAATGTTTGTTTTTTAATACTCACGTTTAGGACGCTTCCACTTTTTTCTCTCTTCGCTTTCCTCGCCTGATTCTTGTTTTAGTGGCTGACGAGTGCGTTTTGGGCGCATATCTGGCCTGTTGGGACGTCGCTTAGGAGGAGCCCACGGAGGAGGTCTTGGCCCAGGAGGACGTGGCCTTGGTGGCCATGGCCTTGGAGGTTGTCTTTTGGGAGGGCGTGGCCTAGGAGGATGATCTCTAGGAGGGCTTGGTCTATGAGGTGGCTGCTTGGGAGGAGCTTCCCAAGGAGGCTGCTGCGTCGGTCTTGGTGCTGGACGCCGTGGTCTTTTTCCAGCGCCTGCATAGAAACGCTATGAAATTTCGCACTAAGGTAAGGCCATGTTGATTTGCGTGTGATGTAACACGAAATCTACTTAGCGCTGCAGCCTTCCCATGATTTCCATATTATGCTTCGAAGTTAGGGCACTCTAAAATAATCAAAACATGAAATGGCTGTTTTGCTTAATTTTTTGTGTGCTCGTGCTGGCCCCACTGGATACACATTCAACACGGTTACTTGTTTTCAGCCTTATTTACCAACGATTTACGTAGGAGTCGTCTGCTCCCGCCATATTCGGATCACCGAAGACGTTTTGTGTCACCATGTAACATAAATATGGACCTACCGGAGCGTGGCTGCCCATGGTTCTAATGGATAATTACATCCTATGTATTAGGCTAAAAGAGGCAGCTACATTTACATACAAAGGCCCACGATAACTTCCATGTTAGCGGAGGTACCACTTATAACTTACCGACTACGCTGATACGCAGCGCCAATAAAAATTTTTTTTCAATTTTAGTACATTTGCAATGTATCCAGAGTGTAGCGAGGTGTAAAAGAACCTTCATATATGTGTCCTATTCACTCAACTTAACTTCAAACTATTCTATATACTAAATAAAGAACGTCAATAGAACAATGACAAATTTTAGTACTTTACGAATTTACAATAGTTAGTAAAGCTTAGCGACCATGATAATTCTTAAGTCAAAGATATTGCATTTCTCCATAAACTCAACTAAATAACACGTTTCAAGTAGACAACAAATTCAAAATTCCTAACATTATTGCATTTCATTTGTGCGTAAAACGAACAAAATATCAGGTGTGAAGTGTTGGAGAAATTTGCTATTGTCTGTAAATAATAGGAGAAAATAGAAATCGTACTATAGAGGCCACTACCGCAATATATGTCAATGGTTTTAGCAAACTAATCATATGCAACAGTTCGCAATACGCTGAAGATAACAGAAAAACAATTTGAGTGTAAAACAACTTCAGTGCATCCATCGCTAGCTTTTTTTTGTTATTAGTTACAAAACTGACAAAAGGTGGTCGTTGGGCTTAGCTAGACTAGGTTCCCTATTTGCATCAAACATTTGTTACATTTAGTTAGGCTCATTTTTACTCGTAGCCGAAGAAGAAATCACCAGTCGAAGGATATGGCAAGAAGAACGTGCTGTACTCCGAACCTTTAGTACTATAATTCGGTCATTGGCTGAAGCCACCGGTGAAGTCGAATGCAAGGCATCGATCGCCGCTCCTAAAGCTCAACGCTGGCGACTTTCTGATTTCTTCTAATGTTACGCCCACCGAAGTTCCCACTCATCACTCGTTTGATTCTTCCAATTAGCACGCTGGTACTCATCTTTGCACTTTCACTCATTAGCAAGCCAAGCGACATCAGCGGGATGGGTCAGCGCCGCTTCCCACTTACGCCGCTATGGGACTACGCAGATAACTTCGGCTAGAGTGACCTCGGCACTGATGACCAGTCTTCGCGCTTTGTTATTAAAGACAATCGTCTTTCTTGGGGACCTTCGACGCAAAAATTTTGGTCTGTTTGTCTTTCTTCCTGTCTGTATGCCTGTCTGTCTGTACATTTGTCTGCTTATCTGACCTTAACGATACCCTAAACGACACCAAGCGATATCCCAAACGGCCAACCCCACTGAAGCACCCACCAATATTGCTCGATTTTCAGCTTTCATACTTGTGCAATTGTCAATTAAAATCAAATACTGCGCTTATTGAGGCACCAAACAAAACTTTAATATTCTTTATGTGTGTCTTTATAGTAAAAAAGCCGTACATCAGTAATTCTAAGGATCGTAGCGTTTATCACGCTGCGCTGACGATGCAATGCTTGCACGAAAAGGCAAGTGTTTCCAACGCTTTGCTAAGACGACATGGTGGCGTCACGTACCCGTCGATTAGCGTTCTACACCTGATCGCCTCTCAGACGGGCGCACACGCCGCGCGCTTCGTTTTCCAAGATAACTGCCAGATAGCTCTCATGTGTCACGTGTGACGCGACTCCACTGCATGCTCAACCAGACAGACAGACAGACAGACAGACAGACAGACAGACAGACAGACAGACAGACAGACAGACAGACAGACAGACAGACAGACAGACAGATAGATAGATAGATAGATAGATAGATAGATAG